TTCTATAGTGCCTTGCTCACAAAGGCCAGTCTCGATTCAATATGGCAGGGGACTACAAAGGAGCACGGCAATCAAGAAACAAAGGTCACTCCTGGAGTCTGGCTACCTGATCCTATTCCAGCCTTGCTGACTCCTCAATATGATACTGATCTTCCTCAGTCACCAGATATTCAGATTCCAGGAATCCCAGCCACTCCCCTTGGCCCAAGGAGCAAGATGGGGCCCTTAGTAGAGGGGCACAGGCCTCACTCTAAATGTCTCTGGTTTGGATTCCATAATATGTGAGGCAAACAATCCAACAAATCATCTCTATTCCCATATCCTTAAGACAAAGTCAAATACGGGGTATCTTTTTCCAGTGGGAAGAATTCTGATTGCAAAAAATAATAATCTGTGTGCTTTTTTATCTTCTTAAATGTGGAAAACCCCAGTTTCACTTTGCAATTTCTTTACCCCGTAGCAATTAATCCACACTCTTCGCTGGCTTTCAGCGACTTCCGATTTGGAATTGCCTCCTGTTTTCTGTCTTCTTTAATCTGCCACATTGCTACTGGTTAGCTCTGCACAGTATTTGTACTAATAACAGGAAAACTAATAATGATAAACATGATGATAATGAAATAATAGCAAAAGAAACTCTACTTACCATGTGTCAGGCGCCTGTCTAAGGCTTTCCCGCATTCCCTCATTTGTCTCAAAACTGCTCTCAAGTAGGTACCGTGACCCTCGCCTTTGGCACACACACGCCAAGGTTTTATGCAAGCTAGACTAACTCAAGTGCTATCATGTTAATGACTGTAGTCTAGCACCTTCCATGGCCAGTTTTCTCAGGATCAACATACAATGATCAGGAGCAAAGATTTCTCCAACATTTCGTTTTAAATTCAAGTTCTGCCAATTTCTAGTTGGGCAATTTGGGGCTAATTATTTAATCTCTGTCATCCTCTTCATCTATTAAACAAGGATAATAATTCCTTCTTCATGTGGTTATTGTAAGGATTAAATAAGAAAATGCACAGTGCTTAGCACGTAGTCAATGTTCAATTAACAATACTCATTAGAATTGTGACACTTTTATTGGCTTCATTATACTTTTTCTCCCATGAAATAAAATGCCTATTATTTCTCTTGCACATTGCATCCCCACTGCACACCAATTTCCGGCTCTAGAATCCATTATGCACTGATTTGTATACAATAACAGGGGAGTCTCACAGAAATAACAGAGAGACAAAACTAATTTGAGAAACAGCATCCCCCCAAAATACTCAGAGGGTATGACAAGTGTGGCATCCTTCCTGGATCTCTCTTATTTTCTCTACCTTCAATTTTTGTAAAGGGCCATTTCTCTCCTGATGATAGTATCAGCTGCTACCCTCTAACAGGCAACGAACTAATCTTTCTGCCAAATGAAAGGAACTCTTCCCTGTCTGGGTGATCACTGCTTCTCCTTCTCACATGCTTTCTCTTCTTCACCTAAACTGGCCTGTTTCATAATTTACGGCCCGACTGGCTTGGCAGGAATCGTTGCTCTGGGGCCGCAGATGTCAGCTCTGTGTGTGGGCTCCCCAGGTAAGAAAGGTTCAGAACCATCTATCCTGGCTGCCACATGGTGACACTTGTCAGGGGTACCATCTTCTCATGCTGCCTGTTTCCTCCCGGAAGCTGAGCCTGTCACTTCCAATAGAACGTGCTGTGCTTGAGCTTCTTCTTTTCTCTTGTGGCGGCCTCGAGCTTGTCTTTTGGGATCATCTTAGAATGTGTTTCGGGCTATAGTCCTGGGCCCCAAAGAGCATAATCTGGCCAGGGGATGCAGACATAGGTCTTCATTTAATTAAGGGGTGGGACCCCAACAGCCCAGTCACTGTTTAATGCCACGAAGGTTCAGATGTCAGTCTGGCAACCAGGAGAGGGTCCAGAATCTAAGCCCATTTCCCTGACCGGCTTTCCGGTCTTGCTACACCACCTACGTTCTAGAGGAAACTGTACCCCTGCTCAGAGGCAACTGAAGAAAAGAAAGGACTGAGTCTTTGTTTTGTTTTCATTTGACCACTTCCCTCACCATTAATTCCTGTTTTCACAAATCTGGGTCATTACTATTGTTGGAGATTCAACATGCAGAAGTCAATGGGGAACTTCCTGGTATCAGAAACGGTCACCGAAGCAGAAGAGAAAGTAGGAAGTGGGGTTTCTCGGGGCGAAGGGAGACAGAGAGCTCAGGGGAGACGGAACCCTAGCAGGCCTTAGAGGAACACTGAGCAGGATGAGGAAAACTGACCCCACAGACTACACGCCCCGCTTCAGGCCCACATTCCAGCCCTCACCCAGGTGGGGGCATGAGACAATACACCACCCCCATTTGCACCAGTTTAGCTGCCAGAGGTGTTTCTTTCTGGATAAAGGGGTATGGATCACTTTGGGTCCAGAAGCACTAAAAACAGGATGGTGGCCTGTAGGCTGGAACCATGGCTTCTCAGGTGTGGCCCGCTTGGTAATTCTATCACTTGCTGATAGAATTTACAAGTCAGTTTCTGGGGAAATTTGGAGATAATTCTTAAATACAATAAACTGTGAGAATCACTGAGAAAGAATATACTAAGAATCGCAGATTCAGACACAAGTATCATCTGGCACAGAATAAGGGCCCCCCACAAAGGTGTCCACATCCAAATCCTCAGATTCTGTGAATAGGTTAAGCCACATGGTAATTGGAATTAAGGAAGCTGATGGGATTTGGGTTATTAGTCAACCGACCTTACATTACGGAGATTACCCTGGGTTATCCACTGGGCCCAATGTAGTCACAAGGGTCCTTAAGTGTAAAAGAGGGCAGCAGAAGACGAGAGTCAGAGAAGGTGATGTGACCGCGCAGTCGGCCAGAGTGACGCAGTGTGAGGAGGATTCAGTCCGCCTACTGATGCAGACTGTGAAGACGGGGGAAGGAGCCATGGGGCAACGAATGTGAGCAGCCTCTAGAAAATGCAAAAGGCAAGGAAACAGATCTCCCTGAGAGCCTCCAGAAGGACCGCAGATCTGCCGACACCTTAATTTTAGCCCAGGGAGGCCTGTGTCAGACTTCTGACCTGCAGAACTGTGAAATACTAAGTTTGCGTTGTTTAAACCACCAAGTTTGTGGTAATTTGTACAATAGCAATAGAGAACTAATACAAAGGGGTTGACGACAAATGCCTATATTCAATGATATTAAAAGGTGTGATATCAGGTGCCTGGGTGGCTCAGATGGTTAAGCGTCTGCCTTCGGCTCAGGTCATGATCCCAGGGTCCTGGGATCGAGTGCCGCATCGGGCTCCCCGCTCAGCAGGGAGCCTGCTTCTCCCTCTGCCTCTCTCTCTGCCTCTGATGAATAAATAAATAAAATCTTTTTTAAAAAAAAGGTGTGGTATCAAAAATGCACATGCATAGTGTGGTTTCTGAAAGGCATAAAGTTTAAGAGATTTCCAAGAGCACACACCCACACAAAAATTTCCACCTGTTAGAACTGGGTCATATTGCTAGGCTTAATTCATACCAATTCTCTTTAAGATAGTTGTACTGGATATTTGGATGTTTCCCTCATTGCTTCTGAAGATCCATTCTCCCCTCTGCTCTGTGCCCTGGTAGACAGAGCTCCAAGGACTGGACTCCCTCCCCCTCTGGTTCCCAGTTGGGTTCCACCAATGGGACGCAGCAGCAGGAATCTGGAGGGCACTCGGATGCCAACACTGCACCTATACAATCCCGAGGGTGAGTTCTTTCCTTTAATTTTATGCTCTATGCACCTCACTTGTGCACGCAACAGTAACACCAAGGAAGAAATAAACTGTGTAGGGCCCAGGAAAGTCTTCCCAGAGTAGGTGACAGCCTGAAGACTACTATGAGCCCAACCAAAAAGCATCTGGAATTCCTCACCAATTTTTACATGCTTCCTCCCACCCACAACTACGCGGTCATCTACGGCAGAGGCCATGGTTGAGAAAGCGAAAACGAGAAGTCAAGAAAATACAACCCAATTATGCCAACAAAAGCAACTTAATTTGAAAACTACCCTAAAGTAAACAATTTTATAGATGCAACACTGATATATGCAAATCACATCCAAATATAAATACTACCCTCCCTAGGGACAGCTTTTTCTTTGTTTTCTCTGGTTTCTAAACCAAATCCAATTTGGAAAATAAAAATAGAAAATTATCCTGTGGTGGGATAAAATTTATTTATGCATCTCAGCACCTCTACCAATATCCACACCCCTCACCCCAAACAGTACCCATTAGCCTAAAGTGATTTGTTCATGCTGAAGAATTGTGTGCCATCACCATGCACTCAGTAAGAATGGTAAAGTACAAAAACATACCCAGCTGTGTGTGTATATGGGCCCAAGAAGATGAGTGATTTGTCTTCTATGATGCCATACCAGATCAACAGTCTTCTCTACCTGTCTCCCCGCAAAGGCTCCCAGAATCAATTCTCTCTCTTCTGTGTCCCCAAAGTACTAATCAGTGGGTACTGGATGCATGAAGGGGTGAGTATGAAAATAAGGACTCGTACTGCAAAGTCCATGGACTGAGCGGCCACGGAAATCCACCATCAATTAACCTTAGACATGTGTTACCTGTGCATTTTGGGACTCTCCCCATTCCTTATCATCTGTTGGCTCCTCAACGCCCATCCTCACCCAAGCTATTTTCAGAACAAAATAACAACAGAATGATTTAAGAAGACTGTGGCAGGAAGAAGGTGGTAATGTGAATATTCTGCACAAGGCTGCAAGGAATTTAAAAGTTGGACCTTCCCTGCATTCCCTGCAAACATTTGTTTCCTGCACATAAACAAGAACACCACACAGAGTCATTGGCACTTATTTTTAGAAAAAAAAATCTAAAAGATGAAAAAAAAAATTTTTTTAAAGGATATTGTTTGTAGGCTAACATGTCTGCCCTGGGGCAGCATCCTCAGCCCCTGAGGATCAGTGTCCTGTGAGGGCGCTCTCATAGGCCTACCTGAGCCGGGAAGAACCAGAAGAAAAGGTTGCTGTTGTAGGTCTTATTCACGGTGAGGTAGCCAGCATAACTCTTCACATTCGATCCTGGGAAAGGAGGGACCATACTCCTTCCTTTTCCTAGCAGAAGAAAAAATTTACCCAAGGATTAGAGAAATAATACAGTGTTAAGTCATCTTCATCTCGGCCCGTCTTCTCCCTCCCAGGGGCCAGGTCTGGAATGGAGTGATCAGAAAGGCTACCTGGGGACTGGCACAAAGGTACTTACTATAGCAAAATTCCAGCCTGCCCTGGTCCATTCCACATATTTGACATTCACAACTTAGCCAAGGGCAAGTGATATTTTTAACCTTTTTTTTTTTTGGTCCCCAAATACAGTTTATGAGCTATAGTAAGATTTTTTTTTTTTTTTTTTTAAATCACCTATCTCTCAGCTCCACTCTAAAAAGTAAACCATGGTATTCACATTTGGGCCACTGGGAAGGCCAGGGCAGACGTCACCCACCATGAGGCAGCTGCAAGAGAAACACCACAGCTAAGTAGCTCTCAGCCTCCGGAAGACCTATATTCTCCACACTCTCGTTATCATGAAAGCAAAAGGCCTGCCACTTCCATTAAGGGAAATGGGCTGACGCATGTGGGCAGCGGGGGAGGCTGGGAGGGCAGGGTGGGGCAGCCAGTGAGACGAGGGGTGACCTCATGGCCCCTCAGAGGAAGCCCAATAGGACAACAGAATAGCTGTAGAGGGGAGAGGTTGTGGCTTTTTTATGGCACCGAAGGGAGAGAGACAGGGAGGGGGAAAGAGGGACTGCTCAGACAGCTTGAGGACACCCAGAAGTAAAAAATACCAAGAGGAGCAAACACTTTATTTTTTTAAGATTTTATTTATTTGTCTGAGAGAGAGAGTGTGAGCGAGGGGAAGAGCAGAGGGAGAGGGACAAGCAGACTCTGTGATGAGCCCAGAGCCCCACAGATGCAGGGCTCAATCTCAGGATCCTGAGCAGGAACCAAGAGTCTGACGCTCAACTGACTGAGCCACCCAGGTGCCCCTAGAGGAGCCAATACTTTAAAGGCAACAGTACTGAGGGCTTTACGTCATGCAGTAGGTGTAGTTATTGTCTCCACTTTACAGACGAACCGAAGCTCAGAGAGGGGTAAGTAACTTGCCCAAGGTCACACAGCTAGTAAAGGAAAGCTGGGATGCAAACCCAGCGGTCAGGCTGCAGAGTCTGCTCCTTCTTCCACCCTGCTATGCTGCTTCTCGACCAGAGAGTTAGTCAGAAAGTATGGGTGGCAGGGAGTGGAAGGAGGAGCAGTGATTAGGAACGGAATGGAGAACAAACAACAAATAGATGGCAGGGTGTAGGGGGAACTGAAAGAAGGGTCTGGGTGAAGAGAGGTTCCTTAGTGGTGACAAAGCAAGTATGCTCAGTAAAATCTAATGATTCAAGAAAAGCTATTTATATCTGACACATATTAAGTTGGAGACTGGTTAGTAGAGAGGCACAGGTCAGGAAGCTTCGTCCTTCACCCATGCCACCAACTAAAGATGCCTTTAGTGGGGTGCTGGAGCTCATAGGCTCCGGAGTGCTGACTGTTAGCATCCCTCCCCAACTTGGCATTCAGCAACACCACTGCTAGCATGCAATGAACCACGGTAAGAATGTTTATATTCAGGGATAGGTGCTGTAAATCAGGGCACC